TCTCCCGTAGCCGGCTGAGAATAGGGCTGTCCAGTTTCCGAAAAGCGCCTGCAGGAACTGTCATTTGCATGACATTAACAGAGAGACTAATTTGGGGACAATTGTTGGCGGTGCTATCCAGAGTCACCCCCTGTCTGACCATGGTACCTTCCCTTTTCATGGGGCCCAGCCCATTCTCTGGTAGCTTAATTCTCAGCTACTTAATTGCTTCAGCTGCTGTCGTGAACAGGTCTTATTTGCCGGCTGAGCTCTGTGGTGTGCAGGAATATTATTGATCTTTGTGGCTTTATCTTGTAGCTGTAGCTCGTTCGAGCAGCTTGTTGATCCGGTTACATTTCCTACCCAGGTGCCTTATTATCCACAAGTCCTGGCGGCTTTATCTCCTCCTTGCCCATCTTAACCCTCTTGTTACTTTTATGTGACTTGCAACGTTGTTACTTTTATGTGACTTGCAGCGTTGCCCAGGACTTTCAGGATTATGTCAGGCAGCAAGGCGATAAGAGATGTCCTCGTGTGACTTCTGGTCATGTAGAGATTGGAGCTGGGAAGCCACTCATGTCTGACGTTTCTGGAGGGTTTGGAGTGGGGGTGCCACCAAGGGAAGGAGAGGCTCTTTCACGCAGCCTCTGGGAGTGTGTAAGAAGTTACAAATAGGCGTTGAGATTTACCGATCCGTTCCTGTATCCAGTGTGACACTTTCTGGGGAGGCTTAGCTCCCATAGTCTGTCCGTGGACTTGGTAACCCCACAGCTGGCCTCTGGGTCTCTTGCTCTTCTTGGATGGACCATAAGCTATTACCTTTTTGGCCACTTTGTTGAATGCTGCTGTTTGGATGATGGGCTGTTGTTTTATGCATTTCTAAGAAAGAAAAACCACTGCCCATAAAACCCTGACACAATTCTCTATCACATAGAAGTCCTACTTTACATTCAGCAAAGAGCTCCTTCGGACTTATTCAATCATAGATTTTATCATAGCTCACTCTTATGCATACATGAAAAGGAAAATAAAAAAAAACAGATTAAGGCGGTACTACAATGTCTGAACATCCATAACTGGGCTCCTCTGAATGGGATCCCAACCAGGTGTCACTGGGCCACTTGTTTCTTCCGCAGTCATTCCTGGTGCCACCGGCTGAGGCGGGGTGGAGACTGCTGCACTTTCGAGTAGGTGAACCCTGTCTCTCAGGCTCCCTGTGAGCGGCTAACATCAGCCTGAGGGCACCACACTGGTTGTGGTAGTTTGAATGTAACTGTCCTCCACAATCTTATAGGGAGTGGCACTATTAGGAGGCGTGGTCTGTTGGAGTGACTACGACCTGTTGGAGGAAGTGTGTCACTGTGGGGGCGGGCTTTGAGGTTTCCTATGCTCAGGATACTGCCCAGTGTCTCAGTCGATTTCCTGTTGCCTGCAAGATGTAGGGCTCTCAGCTCCTTCTCCAGCACCACGTCTGCCTGCACACACCATGCTCTCCGCCATGATAATAATGGACGGAACCTCTGAAACTAGAAGCCGCCACCTCAGTTAAATGTTCTCCTTTATAATAGTTGCCGTGGTCATGGTGTCTCTTCACAGCAGCAGAAACCCTAAGACACTGGGACTTCTTGATCCTACTGGGACCTTCTGGAAAGCTTGTAGACAACTCCAGTGGAACTCCTTCTCCAAATGGCTGTTGGTGCTTTGTCAGCAGGGTCTGGTTGTCCAGGCCCCTGGAGGTGCCTCTGCTCTCAACCGCTGAGGCCCCCCCACACCTTAGTTCTTTTAACAGTAGTGTCGGCGGTTGGGTCTTTCACGCTGTATTAAACAATAATACTTTGTTGTTGGTGATGGTTTGTATTCCCTTAGTTTCTGAATTCCAGGGTCAGGTGACAACGTCTTTGAACATTTGACTGTGGCCTGTTTAGATGAGCCAACCCATTTATTCTAACACAAGAAGCGTCCACTATAGAACCCTAACCTCGGAGTCTCTCAGTTTTGGGAAAGCGTTTGAAAGAACAGTAGAAACAAGCTATAGAGTTGGCCTGAAGGTGCCCTATGTGCACGGGAAAGGTCTGTCAGAGGCTATAAGGCCATTAGACGCAGTTTCCGGAGATGGGCAGGGGTAGGCTGCATCCCTGTGAGTTAGCGAGGGGCCACCTGAGCCTCTGATAACACCGTGTGGGTTGTTGCCACTGCTGCTGTTTGTATGTCAGGACTAGATGTCCAGCAGCTGCTGCAGACCCCACCTGCTCTCCTTTTGAGATGCGAGGAATCATGAGATTGAGCTAAGAGTGACAAGATTCAGAGCCAGTCAGACAGCTGGGCGTGGGGTGTCTACTTTGTGTTACAGTGACCCCATGCTCAGAAACAGTCGCGTCTATAGTGCCCCTTTCAAGGCTCAGGGAACACTGAGAAGAAGGCATGGGAAAAAACATGTAAGAGCTGTGGAGCGGGGGAGGGGTGTGGTGAAATAGTTTCTTCTGCCGCTGATGTGACCATCAGTCATTACGGAGCAGAAACTGTTGGGGTGGCCTACAGAACAGTTCAGCTGCACAGTCATGGCAACAAGATAAGCAAAGCGACGCAGTGATAGCTGGGTCTGTGGTGTTGGAGATTGGTCTGTCAGTGTTCCCACGTGGTTTGAATGTGTAGTGTTTTCCATAGACTACATATGTTTGAACGCCTGATCCTTGGATGGGGGTTCCCCTCGAGGTAGGATTGTAGTCTTCTGTTGCTGTGATGAAACATCAGGACCAAAAGAAACTTAAAGAATACTTCATTCTGGCTTATAATCCCAGAGGGATAGATGTCTATAATAGCGGAGGAAGGGATGGAGGCAGGAGCAGGGAGCTGAGGTCACATCTCAGTCATACGCAGGAAGCAGAGACCATGAGGGGAAAGCGGGGCAAGGGTTACACTCTCAAAGTCCACTGCTGGTGGCGCACTTCCTCTAGCAAGGCTGTACCCTCCAAAGGCTCCATAGCCTCTCTAAGCAGTCCCCACACACTGGGGACCAAGTGTTGGAATATATGAGCCTGTGGGCACATTTCTCATCCAATGGCATATAACTGGGAAGTAAGTCTCTGGTGGAGGGCCTAGAAGCGTCTTAGTCTCACCTCATTTCCTCTCCTTACTCTGTTTCCTGGCTGCAGATGCAGCATGACCAGATGCCTCGTGCTTCTGTCAAGTTGCCGTCCCTGACATGATGGACTGTACCCCCTGGGACTGTGAGCCAAAACAAATATATGGACTGTACTCCCTAGGACTGTAAGCCAAAACAAATATATGGACTGTACCCCCTAGGACCATGAGCCAAAACAAATATATGGACTGTACCCCCTAGGACCGTGAGCCAAAACAAATATATGGACTGTACCCCCTAGGACCGTGAGCCAAAACAAATATATGGACTGTACCCCCTAGGACCGTGAGCCAAAACAAATACAATGGACTGTACCCCCTAGGACCGTGAGCCAAAACAAATATATGGACTGTACCCCCTAGGACCGTGAACCAAAACAAATATATGGACTGTACCCCCTAGGACCGTGAGCCAAAACAAATATATGGACTGTACTCCTTAGGACTGTGAGCCAAAACAAGCCTTTCTCCTTAAAATTGCTTCTTGTCAGGCATTGATTATGGCAATGAGAAAGGCACTGCTGTAACTCCCCAATAAAATGAGGTAGGAAGCTTGCTGCACCAGTGCCCGAGATTTCACGCACCCACCCCCTTCTGCCCTACAGCTGCCAGTGGTCTAGGGGTGCCAGAGTGCGCACAAGGTGAAGGTTTGTTGGGAGTGTGAATCCTGAGGTCAGCACCCATTCTGAGGTGGAATTTTTCATTGCTGAAGTTGCTTTGCCAACACCCTTGTTTCCTCAGTGGTCACAGTGAACATTGGTTCACCAAGTTGAACTTGGGCAGAATCCCCTCTGGTTTGTTGGTGTCCTATCAGGAGTGAACATAATTATTAATTAATTAATGAACCAATCGATCAGTTAATTTACATTTTTTCTTTATTTTTATTTAAATTAGAAACAATTTTATTTTACATATCAATCCCAGTTCCCTCTCCTTCCCATCCTCCCACGTCTCCCACCAACCCCCTATCCCATCCCCCTTCTGCTCCCCAGGGAGGGTGAGGTCTTCCATGGGGGAGCTTCAAAGTCTGTCACATCATTTGGAACAGGGCCTGGGCCCTCCCCTGTGTGTCTAGGCTGAGAGAGTATGCCTCTATGGGGAATGGGATCCCAAAGTCCATTCGTACACTAGGGATAAATACTGATCCACCACCAGAGGCCCCACAGACTGCCCAGGCCTCCTAGCTGACAGCCACACTCAGAGGGCCTGGTTCAGTCCTATGCAGGTTTCCCAGCTGTCAGTCTGGGGTCTGTGAGCTCCTCCTTGTTCAGGTCAGCTGTTTCTGTGGGTTTCTCCAGCCTGGTCTTGACCCCTTTGCTCATCACTCCTCCCTCTCTACAACTGGATTCCAGGAGTTCGGTAATTTACATTCCTTAGGAAAAATCACACATGACTCTTTTGTACCTAATGGGGATCTGCATGGCAGTCCTGCAGAGAGAGCAGCACAGACCCCACTGGCTAGAGGTCACTGTCCCCAGCAAGCCCCCAGCCACTCCAGGTGACAGCCACGAGCAAAGGATTCACTATTCACACTCTGGCAATCCAGGGTTCCCAGATCCCCTCAAGAGAAGGGCGGGTCACACATGGTTCAACATTCCAGGCTTGTCTGACCCACGGTCGGTCTTTCTTGTGGACATCCCCTTGGGCCGTCTCATTGGCATAAACGCTCGTGCAAAGTCTCTCCTCCCGGCAGGTGATCTTGGTCTTCTTAGCTCTGTGTCAGGAAATGGGCCAGACCTACTCTTCATGAAGCGCACAGCCCCGTGTCAAGGAAGGCACGCATGGGGTGGACGGAGGGAAAGTGTCTGGAGACATCATCCAGATTTCTGTGACCATGGGGGGTGCTGCAGTGGCCTCCTCTGTCCTTCTCTGTCCTCCAGGGTTGAGTCAGCTGGGTGAGCAGAAGCCCTTCCTCTCCGGCACGGTTCTTCGCGTCCTCCAGGAGCTGTGCACCCAGCCAAAGAGGGCCACCTTCCCCGTAGACGAGGACTCTTCTCTGGCCAAGGACACAGGGGTAGCTGTGCCTTCCTGTTGGAACTGCGCAAGCTCAGAAGGTTGGGCTCCACTCAAAGTCAACTGTTGGCTGCTCTTGTCCTTTGAATGTGGATGATGTTGTTTTATTTCAGTGTCAGTGAAGCGGGGACGGGGAGCAGAGGGCAGGGGGACAGGGGGGCAGGGGGCAGGGGAGCAGGGGTCAGGAGGGCAGGAGGGCAGGGGGTAGGGGGCAGGGGGCAGGCCAACCCAGATGAGGGCTTCAGGCTGATCACTGGGAGGTGGCAGGCCAGTGGCGGCTCACCAGGGTCTGCTGCCCTCGTGGTCTCTGAATGTCTGGCTTCTCTTTGCCACACTGGGCTGGCTCCTCTGAGGAAGCTAAGGAAGAGGGGATAGAGAGAAAGAGGAAAGAAAGAGTGGAGGGAGGGAGAGATGGAGGGGTGGAGGGATGAAAGAGGCCATGGAGAGTGGCCAAGTGTGGAGGGGTGGGTGGAGAGATGGGGGAGTGGAAGGATGAGTGAGAGGGTGGATGGAGAGTGGCAGGATGGAGGGTGGCGGGGTGGAGAGTGGCGGGGTTAGGGTGGCGGGGTGGAGGGTGGGGGTGAGGGTGGCAGGGTGGAGGGTGGGGGTGAGGGTGGCAGGGTGAGGGTGGCAGGGTGAGGGTGGTGGGGTTAGGGTGGCGGGGTGAGGGTGGCAGGGTGGAGAGTGGCGGGGTTAGGGTGGCGGGGTGAGGGTGGCAGGATGGAGGGTGGCGGGGTGGAGGGTGGCGGGGTGAGGGTGGCGGGGTGGAGATGGTGGGGTGGAGGGTGGCTGGTGGATGGAGGGACAAGATGGTAAATGGAGGGATGCATGCAGGAGTGGACGAGGGTGGGGAGCTGGGTGGAGGGGTGTCTGGAAAGCAGAGAGATGCAGACATGCAGGCTGCAGGGTGAGGCTGGGAGAGCAGAGGATCCACGAGCTCTGCAAGGGCCTGGAGATTCCCTCAATGGTGTGCAGGCCTCTTCCTACACATACCTTTCATTCTGGGCGTCTATGGGACTCCTACAGCCTCTTGGGGCAAAGCGGGCAGGCTTAGCTGTAGGGTCAGCGGTCATAGACTAACAGACCACACCACAGACAAGCTTCCCGGGTCCGTGAGGGCCTGCCACTCTTTCCAGACTGGTGACAGGGCCCGCTGCCAGTCCTCAGTCAGAACTCAGGGAGCCACCCCCTCTCACTTGGAGGGAGCAATGCAGCTCTGGTAGAAGGGCTCAGTCTGGTTAATTATTCAATGATTTAAGTGAAATAGCAAAGGGCATTTTATTGATTTGCATATAAAAGTTATGAAACCCAATATATCCCAAACACGGGTAAATTAGTGGGCCGTAAAAGGCCACGCACGCTGACTTGCAGGTGGCCAGGAGCTCTGGGCTGGGTAAAGGTCAGTAGAGAAGAGGGATGGGCGCAGTCTGTTAATGGCCCGGAGACAGTGTGTGTAAAAATTTATCCCTTCCCATGCGGCGATCACTCCTCTCTGGTGGCATCTTAAACGTGCTCCTGTGTGTATAACGTTAATTTAGTCATAAAATAGAGGCGGCAGTTCAGGGGCCACCGGAGCATTAAATCCACAGCGTTGGAAGTACTTGCCGGTCCGCTAGCCAGGTCGGGAAGAGAGGGGACGTGCAGGCTGGGCATAGCCACTGTAACTGGGTAGAGCTCTGGGAACCTCTCTGCTCACCTACAGTCACTGGTCCCCGGCAACACCTTGGAGCCGCTTTCAGGCCAAGTGCCTGAGGATGAAGACCTCTTCACAAGGGCACTCTGCGTAAGACGGCACAGCCTGGACCAGCAACCTCTCAGCCTAGCCTGTGTGTGGTGGGCACAGGCGGTGTCTGCTGGCTGGGTCCCGAGGCACCCACAGCATGCCGGGAGAGGAAAGCTGGGAGCTTCCTGCCCTGTCCCACCGACAGCCCTGACCTGGGGAGATGGCTGGGACAGAGAAACAGGAAGACAGAGGCACCCTTCATAGGGCAAGTTCGTTTCTCCAGGAGTGAGGGTGTTCTCAGAGAGGTGCAGTGCCCCGTGAAGTCTGGGTGTGCAGAGTCCCTTCTGCTGCAGGGGAGAGCCAGCCTGAAAGTTTTCTCCTGGTCCCCTTCACCCAGCGAGGCCCGGTAGGAATCTCTAGTGCCGCCTCAGTGATGGATGCTATGAACCTGTGTGAGCTGGGCTCTTCCCTGACATAGCTGCCTTCATTGGTCCCTGGTGCTGTCACCTTGCTTCCCTGCCAGCAGGTGTGCATGTGTGTGCATGCGTGCATGTGTGTGTGTGTGTGTGTGTGTGTGTGAGAGAGAGAGACCCGTGCACGCGCATGTGCGCATGTGTGAGTGCATCTCACCAGGCTCTACATAGCTGGCCCTGGGGACAGGCAGCTGGGACTCTGTCTGAATGTGGCCTGTCATTATGCTGAGGTCTCAGTCTCAATGAGGCCACTTCAGGAGGTTTCCCAGGGGCCTTGTGAGGGGAGCAGGGCTCCTGTGCAGAGAGACCCAGGAAACACCTCCTGACTCTGGTGTGGGGACACAGGACCACCTGCTGGCCACTTCCAGCTTGGAGAATTGAGATGTGTTTCTCTGTTTCAAGCCTCAGAGATGTACATCCTCAGGGTGGCTGCAATGGGATCGGGGGGGAGGAAAGAGAGGGTAGATTCGAGGAGAATGGGGCAAGACTGGGTCAGCATGAAGAATTCTGGTAGGTCCTTGGGTTCCAAGGGCAGCGATTGGAAGTCACTCTGCCTAGCTGGCTGGAGTTCCTCTGGGGATGGAGACTTCCCACTGATACTGGCGGTAGGTCATTAACTCATCCATCCGTCCAGCCCTCGGTTTCCTCTCTGTAACGTGGGGACCAGGATTGTAGGGACTGATGCAGGCTTGGTGGGGCGAATGTGGGGCAGGGTGGACAACCCCAGCTGGGGACCTGGTATTGACTTTTGTCCACCCAGAGAAGGATGTTGGTCAGTGGCTCCTTCCAGGTCTTGGGAGGATGGGGAGAACAGGACTGGTCCCTGTCTGGTCTGTATTTGGGAACATATTATGGGGGGGATGAAGGCATGGTACCCCATCTGCTTTCAGGGCCCAGCCACTTACCACGGTGTAGCTGAGTGGGCAGGAGAAACACGGACAGGGTTCCCGGTCAGCCCATCTCCTCTCTCTCCATCCCCTAGCCCCGTGCAGGACAGCCTAGGCCAGGGGCTGGTGAGGACTGGATCTTGGCCAGGCGGGTTCCCCCACTGCCTGAAGAGCCCAATGGGACAATTTGCAGTGGTGACTTTTCACCTGACAACTGATGGATGTTGTCTATTACAGTCATTTAATCAGTGCCAGTGTCCCCAGAGCCTCTAACAGGCTGTGTGCGAGAAGATGGATTGAGTTGAATTTGTCAGAAACGGGCGGGGGACGGGGGTGGAAGGCTGGGATGAGGGTCCTAAGCAGGGTCCTGCTGCTGCAGTGGGAGGGGCACAGGCTGAGTCCAGGAGTCTGGGGACAGCTGTGTCCCTTACGTAGCGGGGAACACATGAGGCTGCCACAAGAGCCCAGGCCTTTCTGTAGCAGGCTCTGGAGCACTGCTCTCCCGCACTGAGGGGTCTTTCCTCTCGGCTCCTCGGAAGCCCAGCCCCATCTCAGCGTCCGCTCCGCTCCGGCTCTTGTATTCTCAAGAGAGAGAGCTGTTCCTGGGGAGTCACACACACTCGTGATGTGTGTGAAATCATCAGATGTGGGGAGACTCGGGGGTTCCTGAGACAGAGCCTGCCCCGGCTGGCAGACTGTGCGGCTCTGCACCGAGACACTGGTAAGTGACACCAGAAAGACAGCTCCAGTGTGGGCACTTGGCTTTCTCTTTTGTGTCCTCTCCCTGCACAGCTGCACCCTGTGGACCCTCCACCCCGGGGTCATGCAGGAGTCTGCACCCACACACATTGCCTCTGCTGTCCTGAGGTGTGGAGACAGGTGGGCACTGTCAGCTCTTTCCCGCGGAGGCTTCGGGGAATGAGACAACCTTATCTCCCACGTGTGAGCAAGACAAAGCCCTCTCAAGCCGGGCCACCCACGGGCCCTCTGTGGTCACCTCAGCCCCTCCCGGGACCCAGCCAGGGACTGCCCCGGTAGCCAGAAACTGACAGCTCTGGGAAAGGCATGTTCTGTCCACAAAGAACAGCCAACCACACCCGTCACCTGCCCTTCCTGTCCTATGCCTGGCAAGGATTTAAAAGGGGTCAGTGGTGGTGAGAGCCCCACGTAGAGACAGGAGGGTCTGGTGCGACACTGTGGTCTGTCTCCCACTCGCCCTCCTGCCTGGGTCAGGGGACCTTTCGTTTAAACCAACCTTTATAGGACCTCTTTGGGCATTCCTGATTCGAATTCTTTATTAGTCAGACGCACACCGGGCACAGTCGCCTCCACTGTATTAGTGGTGTGTTTTGTCATTCAGGCGTGCTGTAGTTAGGCTCCACGCATTCATCATGCTCCTCCTTGACTGTATGAGGAGTCTGTGGCTTGAGACATTGCTCTTCACACGCGTCACAAGCGAGTTCTCCCGTGTGTTCTTCTGCAGGTAGCGGCGGTGTGGCTCTCCAAAGCCTTTTGCTCCACTCGAGGCTGGATGCCCCGCCCTCCCCGGTGCGAACATCCCAAGGCCATTCACTAAACAGAACAACTTTGTTCCTGCTCTGCAACGCCAGACTCGTTCGTGGGACACCTGCAGCTATTTAAGTTTAAATTAATTTAATTAAGCACAAGGTAAAAAAAATCCCACATCTGGAATCGGACCAGTCGCGTTTCAAGTCACACAAAACGGTTACCACAATAGGTAAGGACAGGAACGACGGGGACCACAATTAGCCTGTTCAGTGGAATGGTGGCAGACAACACAGGCGGCTGCCTCAATTAGAGCTGGCAGGGAACAGTTGGAGAAATTTGCCAGGTGTCAAAAAATACCAACTGTGGGTCATGGTGTGTGTGTGGGGCACCTCTCATCAGACTGCACTGAATTTAGGAACCACCGAACAAGGTAATAGCAGGACCCACAG